ACTCATCTGTGAAGAAGATATCCTATGACGGTCAACCAACTCGGGATGGCGCCAATAAAAATTTTGAAGGGATAACTTCAAATTTTCAGCTTGGAACCCTTGGTCTCCTCTTTGTAAACAGCAAACCCTTTCAATGGAGTCATGATAGAAAACGCAAGCTATGGAATATCGTATCAACTGAGATACATAAATTCTGTTCAAGAAACAATGAAAATGAGGACAAGGCCAGATGAAACCTAACAGACGAATATATACACCTTATAATCATTTCATAAATCAAATATACTTGACTTTTTTAATTTTGTTTTAATAATCACAGACACTTAATAATGATTACTGATCCATGAAATGAAGTCAAACAACCTATATGAGTCTCGTCTCAACTAACTTCATGAATATCAGTAAAACCTTCTCTCTCATTGGCTCTATTTACTAGTTTTAAGTCAATCAGATTCTCAAGTTGGTTTTCATTTTTTGCAGTGTCACTGTTGCAGGCTTTTGATAGTATCAGGGGCATGTCATTTATGAAATCTTTGGTGAATGGATAAACTCCTGTATTCCTAAAACCAGACAGCAAATTATTAGCTGATAATGCACTACCGTATGCTTTGTATGCCAAAAAGCAAACATCATTGAGAGAAAGTGCACATTGCTTTGTTCTGATAGTTTCATGACACATACTGTTGTATTCATTTTGAAATGGTCCGTAACAATTTACGTCCAGCGGTAGTAAAAAATGGCTTGTGAGTGCGGGAATTAATTGTAGTACAATATTATGACGCCTTGCCCATTCAAGTGTGCCAATAGGGATATGAGATTTATCTCCATCTAACAACAGCAACAAATGTCCTTCACCTGGGACAAATTTTTTGAAATGATAGCGAAGGAAATCCATAAAAATTTCTGAATTTGACCATCCATCCTTTGAGACGGTGCCGGAAGTTCCGGGCGAAGACCCCTCTAGCAATTGATCATTCATTTGCTGCCCTGGGAAGATAAAGAAAGGGGGCAATGCACTACCAGCTGCGTTTCCACACCCCAAAACAGTGACGGTTTCATCCTTTCCACATATGGTAACACCCTTCTCATCAACATTGTAAATTAAATGAGGTTTGTCTATGAGATCGAATTTAAGTAAGGTTTTCTCCAGTTCATCAAAGTACTTTATAATGATTTCCTTGAATGCAGTTTTTGTTCTTGCAACTGTAAATGTCTTTTGACTAACAGCTTTAAAATCTGGCCACCGTCTAAGCATCTTTTGAAACCATGTCAAACTCAAGGGCGGACTATCTTTAGTTTTCTTAGCAAGCACAATTGCATAGTCGGTAGCTATGTTCGCCATTTCCTGACGACTATGTACATATCCCAGTTCATCCATTTCCATCAAGCGAGTCATAAATATGTTTTCTTCTTCTGAAGTAAATATAGGCATATTTGCCAATTTAGAACACACAGGAACTAAGTTTTCAGCCACCATATACTCCAGTGTCTCGGAAGGTACACCATAAGACTTCGCTGCTGAATGGACTGGAAGCTTGTCATCGATAACAGCCTTATAAGCTTTTGCCATTGCTGACGGATTATAACCTCGATAATGTTTTCTCTTCATCTACAAAAGTAACCGTAAAAAATAGAGGTTTACACATATGTCATTAAAAAATAAAAGACTATGTTGGGATTAATCACTTTTGGGATTGTGGCCGGAGCGATTTTCTGACTTGGGCGCCTTTAGAATCACTTAACAATTTCTATTAAGTCTATTCGGGAAATGTTTGCTAACTTCCTCATCTCGAACCGGTGTCTTTTATGCTTATATCAACATTACGTACACCTGGAGCAGATCAGAATTGAAAAGGAAACATAATTGGCTTTCAGAATTCATAAATTTAAAAAAAAAAAACCTTACCCATAGAAGGTAGTTATAAATTAATTGGGAGTGTTGTTTGAGCTTTATAAAGTAGGATTCATTTCTATAAATTCATTGAGCATTTTAAATAAACTCGGGATAATCAACAAAAAGTGCGTAATCAGGATATCGGGAGTAATAGTTTAAAATGTAGATTCATTTGTCAAAATGTTTTTTTTTACTCGGAGACAATTTAGCAGGAAGCTTTAATACGTCATTTTGACTGATTCCCAACAGAACAGTTACGGGGAACATTTCACTACAGCGTAGCGATCTTGTCTTTTTTTCTAATTTAGTTCTGATTTGCATATACAAGATTTTTTTTCACTTACTAGTATACTACATTAGACTTGTACTACCCTCTCGTGTGTAACATCCGCCTATTTACCATTGCTGACCATTATGAATAGAACTAGGTATTTGGATTGTCAATTTCAATTTATAAATAAGGTTTTTGTGCAGAAACTAACATTCAGGCAAAGTTGATCTTAGACGATATTAATTGTTTTAGGCGCTTTTGGTTAACAAATGTTTTGTTATTATGTTTCTTTCTAAACTTTTAGATAACGAGTGTGTCTGAAGAAGTATACTCCGGAAACAAGTTTTGTTCGACCAGAAATCCTTTATTTTTACTAGTACTGGTTTAGTACCATTATTTTCCTCTGTCTTACATTGTCAGCATGTGAAGTGTTTTGTGGACTTTTCTTTTGTCTTTTCGTCATAATTCTCTTGGCCATATTGTGTTCTGTATTTTATTCGACTTTTATAGATTTCGATTGGTGTTTGATCTTCTTTATAACATGTGAGTCATCTATTCTCAAGGATTCAAATGGCTGGGTTGCACAAAATATTTCTTAAACAAAATATGGCATACTAGTAACATTAATATACGAAAAAAACCAAACGCAAATAATCTATAAGCAACGCAATATTGATTGGCGCATAACTTCCATATGTGTGCAATCTTTCTGTGACGTTTCAATGATATGGGTTGAAAAATGTCGACGGAGTTGAAATCAGAATTACACAAATCAATTTCAACAAACAATTCCATAATAATAGATCCACAACTCAACTGCAACAGGCTTGACACAATCAGTAGAGGAAAAGCACTTAATGACATACAACTTCAGTATAGATTCACGATTTTTTTGAAATATGAAAACATATCTTGACATAGTGTTCAACGTTTCAATGACTTGTATCTTAAGCTCTGTTCGCAATGAAATAATGTAGCTTTGAAAAGGATTCACATACAATTATGACAACTGAAAAAACTTAGATCTGCAGTTTCGTACAGGAAGTTTTTCAAATTCACAAACAGAATAATGAAATGCCCGATAAAAGATTATGATTTCAATAAGGACATTTCATACAATATTCCAGCCATAGACTGGGTTATTATTGAATAGATAATTAAAATCTGTTATATTCAACAGATGAGGCATCATAGCTGCTTCTGTACTGCTCTTAATTAATTTTAAAAATCTTAATAACGGATACTGTACTGGTCTTTATTTAAAAAATCTTAATAACGGCTACTGTACTGCTCTTAATTAAAAACAAATTAAAAACGGCCACTGTACTGCTCTTAATTTTGTAAATCTTAATAACGGCTACTGTACTGCTCTTAATTTCAAAAATCTTAATAAAGGCTATTGTGCTGCTCTTAATTTAAAAATACCTTAATAACGGCTACTGTACTGGTCTTTATTATAATTTCAAAAATGTTAAGGAGGTAAACATGTTTATTTTTAAAGCAGTCCTTAGTCTAAGATTTAATCATGCATTTGTTTTTATAGCGATTAAGATTATAACTCAATGTTGACTGCTGTACCCCTAATTTTGACATTTTTACCTATTATTATGATTATGTCAGTCACTGTCTGTTTGTTTTATTTCACACATTGTTGTCAATACAATGGAATTTTATGTGACTGTCATACAAGTGAAAGGTTTAGCTAGCTATAAAACCAGGTTATATCCACCATTTTGTACATAAGGAAATGTCTGTACCAAGTCAGGAATATGACAGTTGTTTTCCATTTGTTTGGTGCGTTTGAGCTTTTGATTTTGCCATTCGATAAAGGACTTTCCAATTTGAATTTTCTTGGAGTTTGGTATTTTTGTTATTTTACTTTCAGATTGTTCGAATTCTTCTAGGTTTTGAAGACCTTCAATTAAGTGAACCTCTTTTTCCATGTTATTTTTAGTTTGCTTACAATTTTTCTTTACACATGTTAGAGTCAACTTGAGTATTAATTCAAATTTGTTCATACACACTTTTTATAATAATAAATAGGGAATGTGTCCATGGGACACAGATGATGCCCCCGCTTGCATATCATATAAAATTATAAAGGGACATAAATGAAGAACGGTAAAAGTGACGATACCCAAATCTGTACTTGAATCTGAGTTTTGTGGTAATAAGCTATTGTGTTTAAGTTTTATAACATTTGGTTGGGACTAACTTAAGTTAGAGAACGGAAACGAAAATTTCAGCAATTTTTCCATTTGTAAAGGGGCATAACTCTAGAACAGTAAAAGTGACAACACCAAAATTCAAACTTGATCTGTATTTTGTGGTAATAAGCAATGTGTATAAGTTTTATAACATTTGGTTGAGGCAAACTGAAGTTAGAGAACGGAAACAACACTTTGGGACGTAAGGATGTACGGACAGACAAGGGTAAAACTTAATGCCCCCTCCGCTACGGCGGGGGCATAAAAAATGAGAGCTGCTAATAGACTATGTAGACGTGATTCAACACACATTTAAGTCTTACTGGGCAAATATCAGATTTAAGATATTTTACAATATAAGTTTTGATGGCTATATTCTTGTTTTGTGGTCAGCATGATAGTCAATACTAATGAATCATGTGTACATTGCGTTGTCGTGCTTAACAACCCTTATTCTTAATTTAAAGTATCAGAAAACAAGACGTAAATGACCGACACATCCGAAAAGCACACACACATAGGTGACATTTCAGTTCATCACTGTTGATATCTTGAGATACTGACTATAAATATGAAGGCATTATGTTCCGTGGTATTAGAGAAATAAGTGACGAAAAAAATAAGTTCCTTAAAGATTTGAGAAATTTTAATTCAAAGTGTAAAATAAACAGGAGAGTTTTACCACATTACAAAGTTAACTGATCACTGTCAAACTGCTGACATAATATAAAAGCATTCTGTGTAGTATTGTGACTCTCTATAACAAGTGTGAGGAAAATATTTGTTAGACGAACGCACAGACAATCAGGCTGAGAAGGTAAATGCAATATGGGGGTATATTTATCATATTCAATCATACATCAGGATGATTCAAGTAACTTGTTCTATCATATACCCTTTGATATCGATACCCTTATGCCAAGAAAAGGTCACTAGCAAAATATCATATTCTGGTCATTTCAACAAAGTGAGCAAAAATACATCTTATAAGCTCTATGTACACGAAACAAAACAAGATTTAAGAAGGCAAGTAGTTAAAAGGCATCTACCTAAAAGTCAGGTTCGTACGTCACAAGAAACAAGACAATATGTATGATGTGAGTTTTCTTTTTAGAATCATAACATTATGTATTTAAACATGATCGTCTTTTTTATATTCTCAGGACTGCTAAACAGCAGAATGATTTTCAATGCTGCATAAACCAGATTTTACAAATGCTTCGCCGAGAATTTCTTGAGAGAATGCTTCGTTGTATGCTTCACATGCCACGTCACAAAAATAAATTGGTTCATTTGAATGAATTTTTCTAAGACAAATTTCGTCATAACAATCCTGAAGCTGAGCACTACAGCAATGTTCTATTGGGCTGAGACTCCTATCACAGTTAGCAGGTATAAACTGTGTTAAAATGTTATTGTCTTTTGTAAAACCAATTAATTCAACGCAAAGGTGTGACTTTAATCCATCTAAAATCAATAGCACAGATTCATTTGTGCGTTCTGGTAAACACTTGATGAAGTGGTTTTTCATGTAGTCAACAAATACAAAACTAGTGTAACCATTCTCAGACACAACTGTTGGTATGTTATTCATGCTGTTTACAGCATTATCGTGAGTTTCTTGTTCTTGGAATATGAAATATGGAGGAATAGCGATCCCGGAGGCACTTCCACATCCAATCACTCCTATACTTTGAGATTCTTTGGTTTTGATTACTGATACATGTAAATTGAACACGAAATGTGGCTTAAAAGTAAAATCATGTTTATCTAATAAATCTCCAAACTCTTTAAAAAATCTGTTCTTACTCTCAGCTGCCGAGGCAAATATATCACGCTTTCTAGGTCTTTTAGTATATAGCATTTGCAATTCAGGCCAGCGATTGAAGAATCCACGGTACCATTTGAGAGTCAGATGTTGATCACTGGTTCTCTTTTCCATCAGAACACAATAATCTGTGGCGATATCTGTAATCTCTTTACACGTATAATAATAACCACATTTTGCCATACGACTGACCTCATCGGCTAATTTGTTCTCTTCTTCTTTGGTGAACAAAGTTCCTCGACCGATATTCTCACAATCTATACTCCTTTTCCCGTCTAATCGATCTCGGAGTGTTTCCCGGGGCACACCATAAAGTCTACAGGCGGTACGTACTGGTATTCCTCCATCCTTTACGGCATAATAAGCATCTAATAAGGCTTGGTGGTGATACTGCCTATTTTTCCTTTTAGATTTTGGAGTATCAAAGAAATCCTGAAAAATAGAGTCAAAAGATACGATGGGGACAATAAAAAGTTAAATTAGACCAAGCCACAAATAGTACAGACGACCCGTATCATTGTTCCGAATCCGACGGATTTTCTCTTAATTTAAGTTTCTGATTTAACTGACAGGAGTTCTGTTTCACTTCTCTAGTCTGAATGGGAAGGTATATTTATTCAATGGAATATAATGGTTAAAACAAGAATGTGTCCATAGTACACGGATGCCCCACTCGCACTATCATTTTCTATGTTCAGTGGTCCGGTCCGTGAAATTGGGATCAAAACTCTAATTTGGCAATTAAAATATAAAATATTAAACTAGGATCCATTAAGATTGAGCCAAAATTAACCATGTAAGATTATTCAAAATCGAAAATTACATAATTATCTTGGTAAGGAACATTAGTATTCATTTGTAAACAAAATCAATATATGCCTCCCAATACTGGCTCCCTCTTCATTCATAAAAAAACCTAGAACACACAATTTGAAAATCAGGAAACAATCTAAATTTAAAGATTTTTATCCTTTAATTTTGGCGATTTAAGAATTTATTTCGACATTCTGAGCATTGTACTATGACAAATATGTATTAAAAAGATTGACTTGATATAAAGCAGTATTACATAATTATTTTATAGAATTGGATATAAATTACATGAATAAGTAGTGTATGTTCTTATTAAAAAGAAATTGGTAGCTCATCTTAATGAAATAAATCTTATTTATGCAAAGGGAATTAACTATTTGTGCTCTAAATTTCTATTTTTGAATGCTCATTCGGTTATCACTATGAAAAACCTTCGATTATGAATTACAACTGATATTTTATAATTAACATATATATTAATGTTTTTTTATTCTTATTAATCTACTACAATATTAATTATTTATGCGGTTTTTTTTTCATGCTGAGTGTTCTTGCGTTTATTTGTACTGTATTCGTGTCATGTACTGTTGGCATTATAGCGATATTTTTAAACATTGCCATATAAGCGGGAGGTTCGGCTAGCCAATTAACCTGTTCAACCATCATTTTTTCTTTAAATGTCCCGTACCAAGTCAGGAATATGGTAGATGTTATCAAATAGTCCGTTTTTAGTAATGTTGGCGTTACAGGTCGGGTCCGTTTTTTCATGCGAACAAAGGTTATAATATATGTTTTAATGACGGCCTAGCCACAATCAGATGTACATTTCATATTAGGTCTATGTTATAGGCTTCTATAGACAAGAAGATGAACTTAATTTAAGTATTACATCTTTGAACTGAAGGAAAGAATATAGGGCTTCACAATGCATATCAAATATCATGTATATGTGTGACCATTTTGAAAAAAACCCACTAAATACACGCTAAAAATGGGCAAAATTTCACGTTATGCTGTTTCATTTAAAAATACACTGTTTTTATCAATTGATAGTTAATAGGTGAACCCTTATTTGAACTACATTATTGGTTCACTGTTATAGACAATTTATTCATCTTTCTTTTGCTGGTTGTTGCAACGAAAAATCTTCAGTGGTTACAAAGTTATGATAAAAAGTGGAATACTATGCGTTCGTTATGCAATTTTGTATTTTTGTTTTTACCTTGTATAGTGTAGTAATAAAAGAGAAAAATAAATGAAATTTATGCTATTATGTGTTTAGTTTTCTCTTCTTGTGTATGAATTGGCAACAACTACCTCATATATCTATATTGCAGTACCCTAGCTGGAGATATATGCCATCTAAAATGGATATACAAATAAAGTGAAAAAATGTCTTGTCCGTAGACATGTATTTCCTAGTAAACTTGAAGTGTAATAACATAAATGTTGCATTGCTAAGTTCCTGCACTTTTGTAGATATGAAAACACTACAAACATTAATTTCTACCATCTTTTAAAAGAGGAAGAATTTGAAAAAAATGTCAGAATGTCTTGTCTGTAGACATGTCTTTATATCAATATTGCTAGGCTTTATGGATCTAAATTGTTCCTATGTGTTGTTTAAACTTAGAAATATATTATATTTGATTAATTAATGGTTATTTAACTGTTCTCATATTTTGTAAAATTACTTTACAGGAGTGGATTTTAAAAAGTGGCAAATTGTCAGTCATAAAAAGCATGCCTTATTTTACTTCAATATTATTATTCCAGTTTCTTCATAACTTAAAAGATAAACTTAATCAAATGAAGAAATAGTATTTCTCTCTCTCTCACTTGATCTTTTGCATTTTAGGATTATCAGCAGATGAGGATGTGTCTACGGACAAGACACTTGTACATAACAAGTATTAAATTCAATTATTTGTCTACTTTGGAACTTAAATCTAATTTATAGGTGATCAAAGTTCTTTGAACACATTAAAACTCAGTATTTTCACCATAAATATGATCACAATTATTTCTAACAGATTGTTTATTCAACTGAAATTGTCTTGTCCGTAGACATTACCACAATCTATTTGTTTCCAATTTCCTTGAGTTCAGCCTCATTTGATAGATAAAATGTATGTTATTTTTTTCAAGAGAACACATTCAACTATGTCAAAATTGAGTTTTAATAAAAGTTTAATTGTTTAACAGTCAGACTTATGGATTTCAGTTGAAAGAATGTGTCTTCATTTTTGCTTAATCAATAAAATTTTGAGATATGTAAAGAATCATGGGTACATTTTTATATTTTCCAAAAATTAAAAAACACAGCTTAAAATTAAATGGGTAATTTAATCTTAATTTTAACAATTATCTATTTAATGCATTGAATTAAATATCAATAAAATGTCTTGTCCGTAGACATTATCACAATGTATTTGTTTCCAATTTCCTGGAGGTTCAGCATCATTTGATAGATAAACATGATAAAATGTATGTTATTTTGTCAAGAGAACAAATTCAACTATGTCAAAATTAAGTTTTAATAATGCATTTAATTATATATCAATAAAATTTCTTGTCCGTAGACAAAACATATAAATTGTATTGCTAACTCTGATTGTTTATTGTTAGAATATGCATCAAGTTATTTTAATGTTCTATACACCAAAAGAAAGGTTTTTTTTTGAAGTTTTGTTATTAATAGATTATTTTAGAAATAGTTTGATCAGATCAGAGTAATGATAAAAGAAAGCTACTGTTGTTTGAAATAATTGTGAGTTAAACATGTTCTTGTCATTTTTTTTTCGATTAAAATGTTTGATATTCAATAATTCTTAACATATTTTGTTGTCTTTGTGATTGGCCAAAAATATGAAACTGGTGACCATGTCTTAAAGGCAACCATTAAAGAAAATTAGACAGTTTTAAAACACCATTTATTTAATAAAGATATTAAATATTTCTTCCCAAAACTGCATGTAATTATATAAATGCTTCAAGTGTTAGCCTTATGACGGCCATTTTTCATAATTTAAACCATTTCTGTACCAAAATATCAAAAGGGTTTTTGCCTGATGTGATCTTCATTTTTTACTTCATGTGAAACACAAAATGTACAACTGATTGTGGCTAAGCCGTTTATATGTATTTTGATATTCATTTGATTGGTTCATAAATGTTAAGACTGTGGTGTTTGAACATGTTGAACATCGTTAAACTACTGTTTCCTTTATATAAAAGTAATACTAGTATTTGCAAACATAATTTTCTTGCGCACCTGCGTACGTACAATGTACTGTGGATTCATTATTATTCGTTGGATACCAATTTTCGTGGATTTCGTGGGTACAAGTGAACCACAAATTTAAATGTTCAATGTATCACAAATTTTCTATAGACTTTGTATGCAGAGATTGGCAAAACCACGAAATCAAATATCCACGAAAATGCAAGTTTTCCTCAATCCACGAAAACTGACACCCACGAAAATAAATGATTCCAAAGTATGTAAACTAATGACATGATATAACTATTTATCATGTTCATTGTATTATCACCTGAACATGCAGAATACTTGTTATTCTTTGGGCACTTAAACATTGTTAAATATCTTTATTTATAACTCATTGACTTTATATTTTCTCCTTGTAAATATTGCCTTCGTACACCACGGTCCGTCAAGGACCTTTTACCCGCCCTTCTTTACCTACAGACAACAGAAAGGCGTTCAATGAACTTGCATCTTCTACAGGTGGCATTATGCCGTAGCGTATCACAAAGTTTTAAAAAATGTAAAATTGGTACTTTGTATTTAGCAAAGCGACGGGAGTTGTTAGATAAAAAGCATTTTTCTTTATAAGCGAATAACAAATAAGTGTATCTTCCTACTGATTGCAACGCCACATGGTTAATGCACATGTGACTAACGGGAAAAGGGAAACTGCCAGTTCTAAACTCTAAGTACTACTCCTCTAAAAAGGGTCTTAGTAAACCTTCACCAAAACGCAAGGTATCGGCTGATGGTTATAGAAATTCCTCCTTTTCCACAGGTAAAAAACACTAAAGCGATTAAGGGGAAGAAGTCTTGTAAATGATGGTGCAATCTCTCTTGCAGAACTATCATCTGGGGAAGAGCTTTGCTAACTTCTTTCCTCTAAAATCTCATGAGAGTAGGATTGGTCAACTTCAAAGATTAGTGGAATATGGTCACTTTAGAAAACTGTGCTATTTAATTACTGTGGGAGGAATGGGGCTGTCTGGAACTTCAGTTCCACGATTAGGGGACGACCATTTGATATTCTGGGGGGGGGGGGGGGGGGGGGGGCAGGAGGATTTGTTTTGGATCGGTTATTTATTTTTGTAAACTAAGAGGGCAGATAATCTATTTTCTGCACTATTGAAGCAAGATTTTTCATTTTCACTAAAGCAAGGGACTGATTATTTATTTTCACAACTATATTTATAATATTCGAAAACATACAATTTTTAAATTATTTGTTTTTTATAAATAATTCATGTATAGTCAAGTCATTATGTACCATTTAATCAGAATTAATTATTATCCTCTGCAGAAATGAATCTTCTATATTTCCCAATGCATATACATGTATTGCATACATACACAGTATTAAAGTTTGGTTGTAACTAAGGCTATTTTAAAAGTATTGGCAAACATGTTTTGCCGAGCGGAGCGAGGCAAAATTTTTTTGAAGGGTTTTTGAACCGCTGAAGGCTCAAGAAGCTATAGATCAAATGATGCAAAATCATGCCTTCTGGGTGTTCCCCAGACCCTTTCTTAAAGTTCTGTTTTAATAATTTTATGACAATATTTTGGTTTCAAAGCAAAATCACGTTATAGATTCAGTGTACGACTTAAGTTTCTAGGGACAACATCAAAAGACAAATATGCATGATAAAGCAAAAATGTAATTCACATAGTTAAGTCTGTGGCTGCTGTGTTTTTTTAAACTCATGATCAAGTTAATAATAAAATTACTAAATTACAAAATGAATGCAACACTAACAGAATACAGAAGGGCAATCAATGAACAAAAGACAAATAAATAAGAAACATTAATCCCGAAAAATCAGGGGCTACGTCTAAGGGAGAACAGAACTTGCTTCTTGCAAGACACTCACGGTGAACACAATTTGATATGGAGACAAGCGTTTGGTTTTGAAATTTCCTACATGAGGCATTTGTCTCAATGTAGTTACGGCCCTGATTTAATAAAAGTGAGGTAAGTGTTCCTGAGACAATTAACCTCAAGTTAAATGAAACCAATTTTCTGACATTTCAAGTATATTTAAATATTTATACTTTTATTATTAAAAGATATGGGAAGTGTTTCCCGATTTTTTTTTTGGAAAAAAGATGAATTTATGAAGAATCTAATGTGCCATCTCATACTTTCGATTAGACCTGCTGAGTTATTTATTTTCAATACATTGCAAGTCAGGTAATTTATTTTCAAACAACCACAGAACAAACCATTTATTTTTGTGATTATCAATTATTTTTGTGATTATCAAGGCTGAGTTATTTATTTTCAAAATCCTCCGGCCCCCCCCCCCCCCCCCCCCCCCCCCCCCCAGAATATCAAATGGTCGTCCCCTTAGCCAATCCTGTCCGTAAATTGGAAGTGGTGAATTTGATGCTCAAGGTTTACATTCCTGTCATTTTGTTGCTTCCAATTAAAGATCTCTCCTTCAACTATCAGCTGTTTGTGGAACCTTATTTTATGATAGACAATAGCAGATCTATCAATAATTTAATTCATTTCGGAAACGTCTGTAAAACAACTTAACTAACCTTTGTTAGTCTTGTATGATTTTAAATTTTAGTTTCTTTTGTATATGTCGGCGTTTAGTATGACACGCATTTTGTTTTGCCTTCCAACTGTTTTAATTCGAGCGTCACCCCCTGGTCACTATTGACATGATTGAGTCTTATGTTGACAAAGCACGCGTCTAGTTTACAAAATTTAAGCCTGGTATCTTTCATGAATTTTTACAATAAATGTACATGTATAAATGTACAACGTCACTGGAGCTGCCAGATACTTATTTTCACATCCCTACTTCACCTAGATTTCGCAAGTTCACGAGGTTTGCAATCAAAGACTAGATGTCAGATTTCAATCAAATGAGTTCTGGATTCTCTGATATATACTATTGTCTAGGAGTAGGAAGAAGCACCTCACTAACATACTACACCGTTCCGGGTACTTTTCATCAATATGGCTCCCACTAGACAATTCGCTTTTAGGGTCACATCTGTCTTTAAAACACTTTCAGACCAGTATTTGCTGTCAATAACAGACACCTTAAGCGATAGTTGCTTATCTTCATAACTAAGGTCCTTGGCGTGACACATTTCTTTTCTTTTCTCTTTTCTGTCCTTACAAAGATAATCTCTTGTTTTGTGACAATCGCCATGCTTCATCTCAATTCCATGTTCTAGTGAATATGAAGTGGAAGTTCCTACTAGCAGTATAACTCTAGTCTTTATTTGGATCGCCCCAGATAGACCTGTTTGCAATCAGTTTGAATCACAAATTGCACCCATAACTTTCTCCAATCCAGCTACATCAACATGTATGTGCAATGGATGAAAGGACTGTTCAATTACATCTCTCCATCCTATCGCCTTCTTCACAAAATCGTTGCAAGACCATTTGTATAGCTCCGACTTAGCCAAGACATGATGCACGATTTCCAAATGAACGTAAATATCTTCTTGTTTACGACCACTTCATCTTTTCACAGGATAGAAGCTAAGTTTCATCTTCGTTTGGACCAATTGGAAAACCAAGTGTATATTCATGCTTTGCAGCTGTAAGGTCTTCCCTCAGATAAACATGATAAAAGGAAATTTCTGATAAAGCAGCAAATTGTACAGTCAGGGGTGCTACTTAAACAAGTGATTTCATCATCACTTATTTCAGTGATTTGATAAATTCAGTTATCACCTATTTAAGTGATTTTAGTGTTTTCTTTGATCTTCAAATGCTAATTTCATTGATTTTCCATATTTTCACAATCTTTTCTATAATTTTCCTACATAAATCAATTATCCCTTTTTCTTTGTATATTAATTTCACCAGTGCGCTTGGGCAGTAAGTTGGTGCGCTAAAGCTTTTAAAAGTGCCCTTGGGAATTTTTCTGTAATCAAAAATTCATTAACTACTCTTACTATCAGACAAAGATCAACAATATTAGGTAACCTGATTGGTTTTCTTTAGAGTTAGAATGATCTACTTCAAGGTTATGACCTGATCACCAAGTTATTCAAGTTTTTGCATATTTTAAAAAAAACTGTAAAAGTGTCTGGCTTATCAAGCAAAAGACAATTTCTGCATATACATAGTTGTTTTTTCAATGGAATTGTTGTCTTTTTACCAATAAAAAAATCAAGCTTGTGGGAAAAATATCAAGAAAATGTTATAATCACTTATTAAAGTGATTACATTTTAACTTCTAAAATTACTTGTTTCAGTGATTTTAAGAAGTCTGTGTGAACATTTTTAATATTTCACAGCCAAAATCACTCGAGGGAGTGATTCTGAAATCACTTGTTTAAGTAGTACCCCTGACTGTTGTACTACAGGAGCAATCTGGCTAACTTTATGTGCTGTCTATTTTTCAAAATTGTTAATCATATCATGCGTACCAAGGAATATTGATCTAAACAGTCACTGTCATGAGTGTTCAACAGTTAGCTGAAAAATTTCTATGTTTCTTTCAAGAAAATGTTTGATACAAGTTTACTAGCAACATAAGCAAAGGCTTCAGATAAGCTGTATGTAGAAATATCCATCTCTCTGGAGCTGAGTGGAGGTCACAGTTTTGGTGAACATTATTTTTTAAGCTTTTTTTTTTTATAAAAGTGGTGAAGGTATAGTGCACGTGTATATACATTTTTAAGTGCCTGTCAGATATGGGATAGATTTGAACGAGACAATTTAAGTTAAGCATTCCTTATAATGAGATACTCATAAGTATTAACAAAAATACACCATGTACACTGACTAATCTAAAATTTAGGATTTCATTAATGAGCATAAAAAGTATATATTAGCAAGATAATAATGTACGAAAACAGGGTAAGTTAAACAATGTTAAGCATGCATTAGCGTCATAGAGAACAATGGAGTACATACACATGTATGCTTTAACAGAGCTATTGTTTTCTGACTCCAAGGTTAAATGTTTCCCTTGAACATCTGGTCGTGGTTAAAACCCTGTCCAGATCAAACTGGTATTTGATCTTACTGCTAATCAGAGAAACAGCAAATTTATACATGTTTTCTAACTGAATATGCATTTAAATTGCTGCTGAACATAAAACAGCCATCCATCATCATCATTATCCTGATTTCGTATTGACTTTTGAGTTGTTTCATGGGCAATCATCATGATCACATCTTTTTTATTTTCATGATATTGTCAGGACTCCCATTTTTACTTGGTAAAATTCATGGGACTCTCTTAAACAAATAAATTTTGAGAACCCTGCATTTTTGTATTTCATGGCTTACATAACATGCATAAAGTTTACTTATTTTCCTTTTTTTATATTTTCACTTGGTATTTTACATGGTAACCCAACAAATACTTTCATTCCAGTTTAATTTCACTTGTAAACATATGTATAGATATTAGACGTGTTAGAAGATGTGGTATGAGTGCCAATAAGACAACTCTCCATCCAAGTCTCAATTTGTAAAAGTAAACCATTATAGGTCAAAAGTAAAATCACAAAAATACTGAACTCCCGAGGAAAATTCAAAACGGAAAGTCCCTAATCAAATGGCAAAATCAAATGATAAAACACATCAAATGAATGGACAACAACTGTCATATTCCTGACTTGGTACAGACATTTTCAAATGTAGAAAATGGTGGTTGAACCTGGTTTTATAGCGCTAAACCTCTCACTTGTATGACAGTCGCATCAAAGTACGGTTCGAAGGTTGGTCGGTAAACTGCAAACAAACAATATTTCAATTTCAGCCCAATACATTGAGACTTGGATGGAGAATTGCCACATTGGCACTCCTACCATACCTTCCTATTCGTATTCGTACAAATGAATATTTGGAACATGTGGAATGTTGGAAAACAAAATTCAAGAAACAAAACAAGTTCTATCATACTTTTTTTCCATGTGCACGTGGCAATAATCATATTCATATTCAATTAAATTACCTTTATCTCCTTCTTTCCTTTTCGTCCTTTTTTCTTCTTTTCTCCATTTGTCTGAGAATTTTCTCCATTAAACAGGCTAACACAACCTTTACATATGTACTGTCCATTTTTCTTTTCCACTGCATCTTCTGATACTTTCTGACAAAGTTGACATGATTCCTGTTGCTCTCCATCTTTACCTGATCTTCTCATGTCAGTGCTTGTTAATAAAGTTTTTGATTTATCTAACTCAGAAATGGTTCCATCACTTAAGGTTGGCAAGTTTTCATCTATATCTGACAACTCAATACATGCTGAATCAGCACTGGTTGACAGGCTTTTAGCTATATTCAACAACTCTTTCGTATTGTCTGCTTCATATGTGTGATCACTTTGTTTGGAGCAACATGGACTATTTGCAACATTTTTTGGAGTTTCCTTTTCAAGTTTTGTCTGGGGTGGAAAAATATTTGGACTTGTTTGAACAACATTACGTGTTTGCTTTGAAACTCTTGTCTGCTTTTTTGGAATGCAACCATCAGAATATGTGGCCTCTGTATTGTTTTTTCTCTTAGTATTTTCAGTTGTATCTGATTTTATAACCAATATCCTATTTCTCCTTGGACTTTCTACACTAGATTGAGAAAATATATCTTTGGTTTTTAAACTATTGTCTACTATTCTTTCCATAATAATATTCGATTTCTGTACCTTTACAGGTACTTTAAATGGAGCAGAAGTTGGGTCTTTGGCAATTTCTACTTCATAAAATATACGATTCATATTATTTCTTTTTCCACCTTTCTCAAATTCCCGCTTTAAATTTGGATCATTTTCAACAATACCTTGAATAGTAGATGTAAATACTGTAACATCCAAAAATGTGCAGAGTTTCAGAATATCAATTGCTCGATCATGACACAAGGTAAAACTTCCTGTATAAAGGGCTTGTACAAAATCATAAACAGTTTTCAATGAGTAATCTTTCAAGAAAACTTGACATTGTGAACTAGAACTGGTATCTGCTGAAAGTTGTTGTTGAAGGTAAGCACTGCCACATGCCATCAGTACCAGTTTATGTACAAAGACTACTCCATCTTTACAAACAAGCCATACATCACACAACACACCTGTCTGTTGTAACTGGTACATGTGTTTTGACAGATCTTGAGAGTATTCAGGAATGGTGATATTATAATCCATGATGGACACTGCCACCTAAAAAAGAATAAATATGTTGTCATTAATATTTTCAGATAAAAGCTCAATTGATTATAGAGTTTGTGTTATGTCTGTGTATAAATAGTCGGAATGTGAATATATATGTTCAAACTCTTTTAGGTCATTTTTTAGTAACAACATTTGAAACAAAAGAACTATGTCAATTGGACCTGCTTTGATACTATAACTGCCCTTGAATTTTTACTAGATAACATTTTTGTTCGCTATGGAGATTCCGTATATCGTCAGGTTATCGGAATTCCGATGGGGACTAACTGTGCACCACTTATTGCAGACCTGTTTCTGTATTGTTATGAGTTACAATTTATGACCAAAATCAGCAAAGACCCATCGAAACAACATCTGATTAAAAAATTTAATAACACTTTTAGATATTTAGATGATATATTGGCTCTCAATAATGACGACTTCAGTATGTGCACTAAAGCGATTTATCCTGCCAAACTGACTTTAAATAAAGCTAATTCTAACAATGAACACTGCCCTTTCCTGGATCTTGATATCTATATCTTTAACGGGAAGCTTAATACCAAAATTTATGGTAAAAATGATGATTTTTCATTTCCTAATGTTAATTATCCATTTTTAGATGGTGACATTCCCTTGTCACCATCTTATGGTGTTTATACATCTCAACTTGTTCCATTCGCTCGTGTATGTAACAACGTTTTTGATTTCAATGAAAGAAATCTCTGTATCACTAAAAAATTATTACACCAGGGTTTTAGATATCACAAACTAGTCAAAACATTTACTAAATTTTATCATCGGCACAAGCACATCATATGTAAATATAAATCAACATGCAGACATCTTATATGTTCAGGTATTTCACATCTAATATTTTATGATAATATTCTTTTCAAAGCACAAAAATGTCGGCATTCACCTAAAAAGCTAATCAAACCTTTAAACAGACTTATTCGGAAAGGATATAGTTACAATACTGTTGTCAAGTCATCATTAAGGATTGCATATTTTGGTATTAATATTGATTCACTCATAGGGTCTTTGCATCGGAAATAAACACATTTATTCTAAAACCAGTTGTTGGCATGATACGTGTTATGTTTTTCTTATATATTTTATGATGGTATGATACTAAACCCTTAACGGGAGGGATTGTACTTGATTTAACACCCCCCCCCCCCCCACATTTTTGCGCCTATCCCAACTCAGGAGCCTCTGGCCTTTTGTTAGTCTTGTAATTTTTTTTAATTTTAGTTCATTTATATGTTTTGGAGTTTAGTGTGACGTCCATTTTCACTGAACTAGTACACAATTTTATTAGGTCCGAGTACACAGTTATTTCGTAGTGCATTTCTTTTAGACAATAAATGAAAATTAAAAAAATCCCACCTGCGCTTTCTCAATAATATTTTTACAGTGTGTTGTACTACTTTTGGGACAAATTATATCAAAATTATAGAAAACTTCATCGGCTCTAACTCAAAATATGGACAATTTTATGTTAAGGGGGTCTTCAAATCTTTTGACAGCTTCCGAAGTGCTAATTTTTAACATTTTTCAGCTGGACCAAATCACTACTTTACTTTAAAATTCATGACCCAAATTTTTTTACAGTGTCATTTCACCCCCCTACTTGCTATTTGAGTCATAAAACATGGAGAAATAAATTTGGAAGGGGTATAAAAAAAAATGGCAAGTAACACACTGTCAACACTAGGGACTACATTTGTGGACAACGAAAATCAAAGGACGATAACTGTGTACTCAGACCTAATAGGGTAGAAAAAGTTGACCAATCTTAATGAAACTTGGTATGACCAAAGCTTAATAAATTATAAGACTGTCTACAAAGTTTCATGGCAATAGGACATATATTATAGACAATATGACTAATTCTATATTCAACTTTGCGTGTTAAATGTAGACGTTAAAATTGAAAAATTTCAACTATCAACATTTGGGGCTTAAAAAATTTAAATATTGCAAAAAAATACTTTTGAAATGCCTTAATATATAAAATATTATGTATTAAAAGCAATTGAGTACTCATTTGATTTATCAGACTTATCATAATTATAAAAAAGTCAAATTTATATGAGCCTGTGCCTAAAAATGGAGGTTTTCCAATGAAGGGGGGCCTTACATGAAGATGTAATATTTTCCAGCAATTTTAAATTTGTAAAGCTTTTTGGTTATAAATAATCCTTACATATATATTTAATGTACTTTAAATGGTAAGAAAACTCACAAATAACATATCATATTAGTTTAAAAGGGTCTTAGGCCAAGTTAGACTGAAAATAATTTAGGGTCAATTTAGGCCGTAGCACATATTTACATTTAAAAATGCATATTGAAGCTATAGGAAATACAAATTTGTGTCTTTTCTATCATTTCTATACTCAGGTGACATGATACAATAAATCTGAGCACAAAAAGACTCTTGCATTCAACTTTTTTTGCTGACAGTATGGTCTGATACAAAGATTTTTCACTTTTTAGTGAAAAACATGCATGCAATTTTAGTCGCAACAAGCTTATATTTGAACCACTTGCTATCCTACAGAAGAAAAGAAAGATATTATGTGACATGAAACAGGTACAAAAGACATTGTTAAGTGCTTTTTATACAAATTTAGTGAGGTCTTTATTATGGACTTCAACTTTTATGTTCCAAGCTCCTCACATTTAACTTGATCCAAACAGGGCGTTAGACGAGGGTCATATATACAACACATTTTGTACATATTGTCTGAGATAATCTTCTTTTCTGTAGATTCAGAGTTCACAAATGAGTAATACAACTGGATTGAAGCATAGAAACACAAATATTGACACATAAAAACCTGTCAGATAGAAAGTCAGAATGCCACTTATGCATCAAAATTGAAAAAGCTATGAAATGCTTATTTTGACCATAATATGCCCAAATTGGTCATTTTTGCAGAAATTCTATCAAATAAAAGTTTAAATCCTTTAGTTTTATGCTATTTGACAAATTGACATCATCAAATCATTCAGGGAAGTTGCCAAAGTACAGATTCTATATTTCCTGATTTCACCTCTTAGGTCCGAGTACACAGTTATTTCGTAGTGCATTTCTTTTAGACAATAAATGAAAATTAAAAAAATCCCACCTGCGCTTTCTCAATAATATTTTTACAGTGTGTTGTACTACTTTTGGGACAAATTATATCAAAATTATAGAAAACTTCATCGGCTCTAACTCAAAATATGGACAATTTTATGTTAAGGGGGTCTTCAAATCTTTTGACAGCTTCCGAAGTGCTAATTTTTAACATTTTTCAGCTGGACCAAATCACTACTTTACTTTAAAATTCATGACCCAAATTTTTTTACAGTGTCATTTCACCCCCCTACTTGCTATTTGAGTCATAAAACATGGAGAAATAAATTTGGAAGGGGTATAAAAAAAAATGGCAAGTAACACACTGTCAACACTAGGGACTACATTTGTGGACAACGAAAATCAAAGGACGATAACTGTGTACTCGGACCATTAAGGGGCCAGCTGAGGACCACGGCAGGATTTTCTCGCTGCGTTGAAGACCCATTGGTGCCCTTCGGCTGTTGTCTGCTCTTTGGTCGGGTTGTAGTCTCTTTAACATATATATTCCCCATTTCCATTCTCAATTTTATTTATGTATAAACTTGAAAGTGGTCTAATTAGTTTAAGCTGTAATTGATAGGAAACCTCTTATTAAATTAATATATATATTTTTTTTTTTTTTTAATATTGGTAAGTGGGATCTAGATGCATGTGTCAGGTATAAGTTGATGTTTACTTTTTACCAAATAATGAGAATTTAGAGATTTTAAACATATTGTGACTTTGGGAGATGAGAAAGGTGAAGAAAATCATTTTTCTTAATATTGTTAAACTGTTAGCATCTAATAATCAATTTTGATAATTGAGCAATTTTAGGAATGAATGATGTGTTGGAAATGAAGTGCAGAATAAAATCATAAATCTAAGTTAAAAGGATATTAGAATTATATTACATGTATTATAATGAATTGGAGTATTTTTTTGGTGCAAAATGGGATAATAATTATTAATATCATCAAAACATTGGATAAAATTGTGGCATGAAATTGATTGGTCATGAATGGGTAATTGTGGTTTCTGGGATTATAATACTAAGTGGTTAAGATGTTATCTTACAATGTATATAATCAATCAGATTTGTGAATTTGTGTTAAGAATTGTTCTGAAAAGTCATATGACATATCAAAAGGTATTAAACATTCATGTTGTGTAGTGGATTTTCATTAAATTGTGGTTTGAGTTATTTCCCTTTGAACAGATCTAGAAATATCAATGCATTATATATATGTGGATCAATTATTATGGAAGTTTATAATAATAAGTTCACAATTTTGGTGATGCATCTTTTAACCTATTTATGGGGTAGTAGATAATTGATGAGGTAATTTTAATTGTTTATTGGTTTAATGTATGACACCGTTGACTGATCATGCTGATTGACATCTAGGGTATATATAAATCTAATAAATGGTAATAGCGTGTAGGGTGGCGATATATATCTTTTATCAGACATATATATATGGCCTTCCAAATACCGCTTGGATTCCTAACATCACTGAAGAGACATTAATTGTCGAAATCCGGATATGATGTACAAATTTTTGCACCTCATGTTTGCGGTATACCATCTTTTCCGCAAGTTTATTGTTTTCTGTTTGGTAATAAATTAATAATAAGATCTATTTTGTGACATCTTGTGATCTGTTTCTTTGGCAATCGCCAATGTCAGTCAGCAGGGTTTAAGAACATCAGTTGTTCGACCTGCTAGTCAAATGCGTTTTGTTAAAATATACTTTTTCACTCATTTGGTTTTTTGGAAAATGTTGTTTGTGCTGTATTTAGACCCCTCTACCCAGAAATTTGTATTGCATGCACATATATAAAAATTGCGGTTTTTTTCCAACGCAATCATAGGTTTGAACGTTGTTTTCAATTTAGACTTGTATATATATATATATATGAACATGTCTCTGCTTTTACTAAATTTTGTAATGTACTTTTTTTTAAAGAATGAAAGTTTTAGAATAAAATAAAGATTGTCATAACCAGGGTTCATTCTTGATCAATATTCATGCTTTTACTTATCTGAATACCCAATACCATGTACAATGTACAGTACTAAACATTAATATAATAGGGAATAAAGATAACTTTTGTTAAAAGCAATTTTGACCAGTTCAGTCCAAGTATGGACTTTCTTTACAAATTAGTAACAAGGTAAACAGGTCCCTAGGGGATAAAGTCTTTTAATAAATTGCATCTGATTTAAACATATAAATTTTTTGGAGGTAGTTAACAGAATAAATTTATAAGTTTAATCTGAAAGTTAATGTTTTAAGTCCATTCGCATGAAAATTTAATTTGTCCCAGTTCATGGCAGATGCTACAATGTGCTACAGCATGCATAGTAAGTCTAGTCTAAATAACAAATAATGCATCTAAAATTGTATTTCAACATGTTCAAGAAGTGAAACATCATTTAAATCATATATTAAATTTTGATTTTTTTGTATTCTGGGTAGATAAGTGGGGCAATTTTTTTTTAATTTGAAGTGGGGCTAGTTGGTACAGATCAGAAGAGTGGGGCGAGTTGATGAAAAAGTAGGGCGATTTGCCAGCGGGGCGAGTTGTCATGCTTCTTTATCATAACTAAGGGCAAAAGTTAGATACCTTGAATTTTATGTTTGACGCCAGGCACTTGTTTTCTGTACATGGCAATATCTACTACCCCTATATATTACGAGCTCATAATATAGAGAGATGGTAGATCTTGCCATGATGCCTGTGTTGAGGCGTCACGGAAATGACAATTTTAGGGTGTAATTAGGTCAGTCTACCGATCTGTCTTTCAATAAAACAAAGATTACCTTTGGTTTACTTATAAAACAACTACAATATTCTTGTGTAAAACATTCATGTTCACCTGTTTAAACTAAACTGACTACTATGTTTAATCTGTTTACTTTAAAATCCAACTTCTATTTTTCGTGCATGGGTGAGGGCAAGGTCTTAGTATATCAAATTGCGCCATAAGCAAAGGTGTCCTTGGCAAGATTGTTTCTGAGCAATGGAGGCAAAAGATACGTGTACAATTGCCTCAAATGTTTAATTGACAACGCACCACAACCAACTGTCAATGGACCAAATTTCTGCAAAGAAAACCCATCGGTCGTCTTCATAGAGTCAAACTGTATCCCTGACTTTTAAAACCATAGATGTATACATATATGATTAAACAAAATGAACAATGATGTGATGTTTTGTGTAAAACTTGACATTAATTTTGCTTCGCAGGTGCATTACTGGCATATCCAACTAAGTAAGACATCACGTGACTTTGGTGACGTATAGCGAGCCGCCATTGTCTTGTCTTGTCTTGTGTGAAGATCCTGCCTTTCAAAGGCACACCTCTGGTTACAGAGTAGGATATGGTGTATTTAACACCCACTTAATGTTTATTACACTATTAAAATCTAAAACAAAAGATAATTTAGATTTTAAATATTCACGCCTTTGACTGATTGGTTGCAAGCAATCCTTTCTTTTTATTCACCGGCAATGTTAATAATATTGTATTACGTCTAATGTGCAAAGCAAAGCAAAGTTTTCTACTTATGTATTCTACAAATGAAGAAAATCTGTACATCCACATTTACATTGACAGTTACAGAGCAAGGCACTAGCATCCAATATTAGTTGTGTATTAATTTCTAGTTTTTCTAATGTTCTACATTTCGGACAGAGCTCGCTTTTATTGATAATATTTGAAAGTTCAAGCAGGTGATAGTTTCTAGCAGAAGCTAAAGCAGGACATGAATGAATGAAATGGTCTAATGTTTCAGCGTCCTCCTCGCATAAGAGACATGTTGGGTTGATGTCAACTTGATTGAAAGCTGCTCTATTACATTGGAGAATGTATGTACCAGTAAGGAGTCTAAGTTTGATGGGGAGACGCTGGATGTCTTTTGCAGAAGTCTGGACACTTGCTAGAGCATTGTGTAGATGACCAGTTTTAAAATTGGACGTAGAAATACTCTTGTAGTAGATCTAGACAGACATGGTAATCACATGTTCAACCCAGAAGGTGTCAATCGCTTTCCTGATAGAGATCTTCCATTTTAATTTTGGAGGTGGTTCATCTAAAATGTTAAAGATTGATGGTAGGCTGTATTTAATTAATAAAGATCTGATTTTTGTGAACCAACTGTCCTTTACGGCTGATGAGATGAGGATTTGTCTTTCTGCGAATTGTCTTTCTATAGAGTTCTCTTGTCTTGAAATGTTTGCAAAAGTTCCCAAAGCTAGTTTATGGATTTTACTAATTACTGGAATCGTACCCGACAGTATAAACACAGCCATGTCTGTTGTGTTAGTGGGGATAGATAGGATTTGTTTGATGCTTTTCCGATAAAAAATTTCAATTGGTTCCAGTTGTGTAGAATTTGGTAAAAGTATTTCTAGGCCATAAATGAGTACTGGTAACACATAAACTTGGAATAATTGTAGGCATGCTACTGGATTAAGGCCGTTCTTGCCATGCATGCCTGTCCCCATCAAACTGTACATTGATCTCCTGGCTTTGTTGATGTTTTCCTGGATATGGATTGGGATGGTTTGCCGCGGGTTACTGCTGTGAGTAATTCCTAAATGTACAGCAGTTTCAGCATTTTGAATAGGTGTATCATTTAAAGTGAAATTGAAGTTATCGTCTAATTTTGGTTTCCCAGTTTTAATAATTTTACATTTTGTAGGCTGTAATGAATATTTCTCCAGTTGACTGTAATTCTCCACGGTTGTTAAAAGGGTTTGCATATTGGTAGGATCATTTACGACCAGAGTGACATCATCTGCACAAGTTGGTATAGGACAGTGAATATGTCCAATATAGGATCCCAGTGTACTGTCCTCTACTTGGTTAAGAATGTCATTTATATATAGTTTGTATAACTCTGTGCTTAGTATTCCACCCTGCCTAACTCCTTGCTTAATATCGAAGGGTTCAGAGACCAGGTTTTCCCATCGAACTGAGGTTTTGAGTCATTTTGTCCCATATAAATTGCATAGGTGCTTCAATAAAGTTCAATTTTCTCATTAACTTGACCCGTTTTCTAACTTTTGCAACTATATCCTTGGTATTCGAACATAATTATACCTGAAAATGTTGGTTCTGACAGTTTAATTTTTGATTAAATTACGTCCCTGGAGATTCGTAAAAATCGTACTTTTTCTCGTCATTTCCCCGTTGACTCAATGGTAAATCTAGCGACCCCATGTCTACTTGTACGTCAAATTCACAAAGTCCGTAAATAAAAGTTACTGTAATACTTTGCAACTCGATTGAGAATATTAAAACATATATCTGGCGAAATTTTCTACTTCAAACAGTTTAATTTTAGGGCAAATTACGTCCCACATCGATTTAAAAAAGTGATTTTGGGGGAATTTTCAAAATGGCGGATGTGTTTTGAAATGTCGCATGTATTTTTAATCATCGTGTATTTTTCATGCAGAATCTGTGCTGTTTCTGTTATTTTCTTCGATGATATTTTGATATGTTTGATTTCAAAATTTCTTGATAGAAAATAAATTATTTCAAGTATGATGTGAAAAAAATAACAGGAACATTTATTTTGACAGATATACTATTCCAAGGATATACTGTTCCCAGAAAAAAATTAACACTGAAATTTATAATAAAATTATTGTTCACTTTTTTTTTTTAGGTTTTTCCCTTTTTTCTGTATAATTTATCTTTATTTAGAAAAATATATATATATATATATATATTCTTTTTAGAAAAAAAAATGTTTTCGTCTCGAGAGAAAAAAATAATGCTCAACAATAGATAAATGTTCTGTACCTTTAAAATTGAATGTCCCTTGACGAACAGGTGAACTCGGATTAGGTTATATGTTACATAACAACAAATAACCAAAAGCCACAAGGTGACATTAACATCCTGTGTATACATGTATTTCCAGAGTTTAGATTTTGTGATATACAAAAGTTTTCTGAAATGTACAAATAAATATTTTCTCTTTCCCGTGTACACAACCGAAGAAATATACATCATAAAGAACTTTAAGAAAATATGAATATTATGAAAAATTCTTCGATAAGTTGATTTTTGCTTAAAAAAATAAATCAAATATAAATGTTTCACTATAATTGTTTTAAAGAAATACTATATTTAATAGATTTTTTTTATTTCATAGAAAATTAAACGAGACTTCATTGCATATGATTTTTGTCATTTATTTTTTTAGTTCAATATTTAAGCAAAATCCAGGCATTAAAAAAAACGATATTGAAATTTTAACTTGTGCACAAAAAGATGTTATTGTATACATTTCAACAACATTGAATTCCCGCCAATATTTATCGACAGAGTTATCGGTCCTGAATAGGACTGATATAGTTGGGTATGAGTACGCTGTCACGGGGTATTTGATTTTTAAAAGATGTGCATGTGCTATGCAAGAACCGAAGAAAGATAGATCTATATGTTTGACAACAACTGATCAGGCAATTCGCCGTTTCGGAATTTAATGCATTCTGGGTTATATTTTCAAAAGCGTACACCAAAACGTTGTAATTGGTCAAAAACGTTCTAAACAATGGAAATTCAACCAATAACGTAACGTTATTTTCATTTTGGTGTACGAACAATAATATTACACATAGTCCTTTAGATTCTGAAAAGGCGAATTGAGTCGTTTTGGGCACCCCTCGGTTGGCCATTTAATTTAGAATTAATTTTCATGGTATATGAACTCAACATTTATTTATACTTTGTTAAATTGTTTTTACAAAATATCAGACAAAACTATTTTTAATTATTTACATAACTATAATACATGATCATGCAATATTATTAGTTACTCGGATCAACAGTCTGGGTTCCGTAACAAGGACTCTACTGTAAATCAGTTACTTATATTATATGATGAAATTGTGAAAAATCTTGACAAAAGGAAGTGTGATGTGCCAAAAGCATGTGATCGGGTTTGGCACATGATACCGTTTTGTATAAATATAAATATGGGATAAAGGGTAATTTGCTTAACTGGTTCAAAAGTTATCTTTCTGATAGACAACAAAAGGTTGGAGTAAATGATTATTTTTCAAATTGTAATACTGTCAATAAAGACAAGAGCCCCTCGAGGGTACATCTTGGGTCCTTTTCTGTCTTTGTTGTTTGTAAATGATATAGTAGATGTAGTTAAAAGCAAAATGATAAAACTGTTTGCAGATGATACTTGTTTATATTGTGTGGTAGACTATTATAAATCATGCAGCAGCTGATCCCTTAGGGCAAGATCTAGAATTATTAGATCAGTGAGCAGGAGATTGAGGGTGTAATCTTCAATGTAGACACAACTTTAGATCTATGTACGTTACGATAAAAAGTAATGTTGATGTCACATCATTATGCATGAATAAGGCACCTCTAGAAAATATATCCGATCGAACATAACATCTTGCCATACATGTAACCCTATCATCTGATGCCAGATCGACAAGTCAACTACAAGATATTTATACAAAAGCTTGTAGACGTCTAAACATTATGGGATATTTTAAAAACTAAGATTGATAGACAGTCATTTGAAAGACTTTATATTGCCTTTATTAGACCCATTTTGGAATATGGGAACAAAGTTTTGGATAACTGAACAAGAGAAGAATCAGATCTAATTGAGTCTGTACAACTATCTTCTGCTAAAATGGTATCTGGGCTTCGAAAGGGAACACCAAGCTATATAGATGGTAATTATATACAAGGAACTAGGTTTGGGATTGCCTCTAGAATAGGCGACAGAAAAACAAATTATTGTTTCTTCATATCCATAAAACCGTTTCTGAAAATATTCCTAATTACATTGCTGCTAATGTCTTGTCGTATGCAAACACTTTTGTCCAGAGGGTCTGAGAAATAAAAGAGGATTCAAAAATCTTCAGTGTCGAACCACAGACTATAAGAACAGAATTATTCCACATACTCTTGAAAAGTGGAGTTAACTTGCGATGATCGAGAATTAGAAAATATTATATAAAGCTTTAAAGGATTCAAAAGAAAGTTGAATGAGGATATAAGTCCCTGTCCAGTTTTCTTTTTCCACTGGTTCACGAAAAAATAATATAATTCACTACCAGTTAAGAAATGAGGCTGAGTGGTCGACATAAAACATCACCTCTTCTGTGATCATTTGTCGACCGGACAGCTCTGTGTGTGCCTATGGAGACCCGACAGAAGATAATTTTTATTTCTTTTATGTTTGTCCTGGGGGCTGGTCATTTTGAAATCATACATACAAAATTTCTTGATCCCCCATAATATTTCACTATTTTTATTTGACCCCCCTGTAAAAACATTTAAAAAATGTGATACCCCTCTATTAAACATGCCAAAATTTAAACATGCAAATCACTTATCATGTTATTTCAAGGAAATATTGAAAATGAAATATTCTCAGTGGATTGAGTCCCAAAACTTATTTGAGGGAAAGTTGCCTTGAAATAGGGCTCTTCCATGAGGCCTCTTCCATGACTATTAGTAGGTAGAGAAAGCCAGTGCTTTGAGTAGCTTTTTCTGACTTTTTTTTCTAATTTCCTATATTGGGCTATTAAAGAAAACTTGATTCTGAGTAACTCTGTAAAAAATATACATTAAAAAGTAAACTTTTTGAAACGGTAACAACACATTATTTATATATGTCCCTCTCTTGAACGCTGCTTAATTTAAATTTTACGTATGGCCTTATTGAAACCTCCATTGAGTCGCTAAACTTTTATATGGATAGTTCATGCTTTCAGCTTGAACAATTCAATTACTCATTTATTGTCACATTTCATTCATAAATGTGTGATATTAACCTCAAATTTTTGATTTATTAGCCTAAAAAGTACAAATTTTGAGGGATTGAGAAGTATAAATGGACCCAAAGGGCTCTTGTAATGAAAACAAAAAGATACATTGGCAATAATGCTTGTTAATTTAGTGATCGACGTGAGTGAAATATAACAACTGAGTTATTCGGATTATGAAGCACCTATACATTTTATATAGGACAAAATGACACAAAATGGCAGCTTCCTACATCACCAAAGTATTGTGATGTCTTGCTTAATTGTATATGAATGGTTTTAAAAATACATTTCGATTTGACTGTTGTAATGTTCTTCTTGACATTTTGTCTCTTGAAGTATGTGAACTACTTATTTCCAAGTGCAAAAAATATTGCTCCCCCCACTTTGAATTTATAAAAAAATTTGAACCCCCCTTATCCACATATAGAAAAAAAAAACTTGACCCCCCCTGCATTTTGACCAGCCCCCCTCCTAGATAAAAAATGATAAGTCCCTAAAAGTAAACATGCCAAAAATTAATTAACGTCCGTTGTACTTTATTTATGCTGTTTTTTTGGTCTATACTTACGTCTAAATGATTCTATGAAGATCCAGACTTCCAAAGTCATTTAAGTCTACCGGAAACATAGGATGTAAGCAAAAGACCGAAAAAATCAAGGTAGCGTCATGTCTGACCTACAACGATCTATCGTTTTAACAGTCTAAACATGCTAAAGGAGATAACGTAAAAGGAAACCTTTTTACCATTTAATTTCTAGGAAAGGGTTAGTGAAGAAGATCACAAACTTTGCACTTGTTTTATTTTATACAGTGACAGTGTTAGTCTTTCAGAGCAGTCCCTAGTCCAAATAATTATGACGTCTTGATTATTTGGACTAAGCAGTCCCCGTTGTCCGTTTGCGCCCAATACACTTTCGCACCCAGTAGAATTATTATTTTAGAAGTTTTACCCTTGTCCGTCTGCACGTACCACAGAAGTTTGAAATCCTGGCAATAAAGGTGTATACATATGCCAAACTCGACTATCACAGTAGAGCTTCTCTATGCTATGAAACATATATATACGCAATGTTAATTACCACAAAACACAGATCAAGTTTGAAATTTGGTGGCATCACTTTAACCGTTCTAGAGTTATGCCCCTTTATAAATAGAAAAATTGCTGAATTTTTCGTTTCTGTTCTCTCACTTTAATTTGCCATAACCAAATGTTATGAAACTTATACACAAAATTATACTTATTACCACAAAACTTAGATCAAGTACAAATTTGGGTATTGTCACTTTTACCATTCTTCAGTTATGTCGATCCCTTTATAACTTTATATGATATGCAAGCGGGGGCATCATCTGGTTGGTTGGTTAGTTGGTTGACTTGTTTACTAATTAAACACATGGGATAGGGTCTCTTGTTCCCCATTTATTAGATATATTTTTATATGTATGTACCAAAAAAAAAAAAAAAACCTGATTAACATGATTAATGATTGGGGAATTATTATATGAAATGATTTTTTGTTATCAATTTGATGATTAATTATTAAAAGTTAATTACGTGTATGTATGATTGCTGCTAACTGGTATTTATACACAGCTAAATTTGGTATTGCTGATTTTTGAAAATCATGATTGTTGTTTTAACCTGTTTTGATGTAAGTTAGCTTGGTATGCATGCTATGATTTAAAGTTGAAGACTTTAAATGAAAACACAAAAGATAATTGCTTTTAACTGCTTGGTCGCTCTGATCCCGCTTTTTTTGATACAAAGAAAAAAATTATATTTATAGAAATATTCTTACCAAAACATGATTGACAAATGATTGGGAGTTATTCAACACAAAAAAAACAACGTCAGAATCTCGCTTTATTTAAATACAATGAAAAAAAAACTTTATAGTAATACACTAACCAAAACATGATAAAGATTTATTCAACACAAAAATAAACGTCAGAATCTCACTTTGTTTTGAAAGAACTAAGAAAAAAATATTTATAGGCTAGCAATATACACTTACCAAAACTTGATTACAAAATTATTGAACACAAAACCAATAAAAAGGGTGCACACCTGTCAGACTTGGGGTCAATTACATTGGAATGTAATTAATTGAATTACACATTACATTGCAAAAAATTATCAATTACACTAATTACCATTACACAGTTTTGGCAATGTAATTAATTAAATTACAATTACTTTACCAAAGTAATTAATTAAATTACACATTACATTTTATCAGAATTGTATAAACCAATATGTTATGTACAATGTAAATATATATAACTCGTCTCAAATTTGTCCCAACAATGTTAAATCTTCTTCCCTCAGATGAATTTGACCTCTTGATTCTTTATATATATATCGCATGAGCCAAGGCTTCGTGTTGAAGACCGTACTTTGACCTATAATGGTTTACTTTTATAAATTGTGACTTGGATGGAGAGTTGTTTCATTGGCACTCATACCACATCTTCTTATATCTACTGTAAGCTTATGTGACAATTTGGATGTAAAGTGTTTCATTTCCTTGATAACTTGTATTTTTTGTCAGCTATTGTCTACTGTCATTTAATTTCTAAACTTTTCAATTTTAACTTTTGCCAAGCTATATATATGTCAAAGGCAACAAACATCACTATGGCATTCGTTTTTTGTTTTTTTTTGCATTTGGTCAAATACCATTGAATTTCCTTTAATTAACAATGATTAAGGTAGCCAACTTAGGTTGTTAACTTATTGTCTTCTCATTTTTAAGAAGAAGGATTTCTTTGTAATTTAATTAAAAAGTTTTATATAAATTACAAATTTATTTTGTTCTTTAAAAATTTAAAAAGAAATATATAGTTGTCATAACATTGAAAAAAATTGAAAGTATAATGCTTCATATATTTGTATACATCTACTAATTAGATAAAATACATGTAATAGTTTACATTGACCCTAGGCTGTTTTACACACATATTAATCAGACTAATTGCCATTTGTTTTTACAGCTGATAATTTTGGCCTACTTCGATTCTTCCAGCTCGGGTTACTCGAGTTAAATTTTTAGGTTTGATTGCGCATGCGTCAAAAGCGTATCAATCGAATCAAAAAACTCTGGTGGAGAGTTACTCGAGGTCCATTGTTTACCTTAACAACATGGATGAATTTACGATACTAAACCATATTTTTAGTGATGATGAACAAACGATGGCAATTCAGTATATAATTGATTCTAACCAAATCTTAATACAATTATTGACAACTTTGTTGCCCAGGGACATGATTTTGACAATAACAATTAACAGCTAAAAAATAGCCGATAACAATGAATAAAATACGTCTAGAACACAAGAACAGTAAACGTCACCTTGCGCCCCCCCTCTGAAAACTATACCGGAGGTACACATGTGTATATTTTAGCGAATATTTACAATTGATGGACATTGATGTAATACAATAGATATATATTGTGTTTTAATGTGACTATTGTAATTGAACACTTAAACTTCTATTTCGTCACATAAAATAGCTTAAATCCATTTAAATCGTAAAAAATGTATTTTCGAAAAGCACTCACGTCTCTTTCGTCGCCATCTTGCCGTTTAACTCGAATCGATTAAACCTGGTCAGGGGCAGGGTTGATATCGAGTTAACTCGAGGGTTGTAAAATGATCAAACTCGGGTACTTCGATTGCAACCTGAGTAACTCGGGTTACCCGAATTGGACACATCGAAGTAGGCCTTTATTTCTATAAACTTATTGTGTATACTAATTTAACAAAATTAGTGTGTGCAAGGATTTAAAACATTTTTACCTTCATGTAAGTCACAAAGTCAAACTTCCAGATATTTTAGAAGTACATTGATGGCAATTTGCTCTAAAAGTTTCATTAGGATTTGTTGGTTTCTCTTTAATATATGTGAATGAAATATTATTTTACAATTAATATTAACATAATTTCTTATGATTAACATCAAAAATTACATGCACATGTAATTGAAATGTAATTGAAAAGTAATTTAGCATTACATGCTTTTTTCAATGTAATTAATTAAATTACCATTACATGTAATTTAAAGAATGCTCAATTACACATTACATTCAATTACATGGAAAATTGTAATGCATTACACTTAATTACAATTACATTTTCAATTACCCCATGCCTGGCACCTGTCGGTCAGAGGTACTACTTGTACAAGTAATTTTTATTTACTTGAAGAAGTAAATATAAATATACTTATATAAGTAAATTTGTAGGATACTTATACAAGTGTATTTTATTTACTTGTATAGGTAAATAATTTTTTGGCTTAGTTATGTCCCTTAGACATTCAGATTTTTTTACTTATATAAGTAAAAAAGTCATCCTATCTTCTTTTCTTGAATTCTTAGGACTTCTTTGCTCTAATAGAATTTTAAATTGTCTGTCCTTTGCAGATGTCTTTACTTATTAATTAAGTGTAATTTCATGGACAATGAAAATCTCATTTGTCTGTTATCTTCAGAACACTGCTCATTTACAAGCCCCCAAGGGCAATTTTTGAAGGTCTTGTGCAAATACTTAAGATCTTTGCCCAATCAGTTTCTTTGTTGAATTAATGAGATGAAACATTGAACTCTAATAAAAAATTATGAGCTAACCTGGGAAAAATCATTAAAGGCACGTTTTTACATCTCAAAACTTGAGAATTTTTGTTGGATTGTAAAAAAAATTTACTCATACAAGTAAATTTTTTAAGAAAATTAAGGGGAGATTATTCAAACATTATAATTAACTTATATAAGTAAATTTTTTTTACTTCTTCAAGTAAATAAAGATTACTTGTACAAGTAGTACCCCTGACTGCCTGTAGGGCGGGAACAGACTATGGGTGCCAATGTGTAGGGTGCAAAAGTGAAAGGGGGGCAAATGTGAATGTGTTTTTGGGTGAACGGACCCGGATTACCTGATAATTAATTTAGGAGATGTATTGTATTTTAAGCTCCAACAATAGTCGCCATCATGTAAAATTGGAACCATGTTTTTTGTCATAAATTTTTAAACTACCAGCCGCTTTCATTCAAGATGACTTAGTCCAAAACTCTAGAACACCTGTGTGGACTCATCATTTTAAAACTGATAAGTCCACAGATGCATTCTTTTATTGTAATACTAATATTGTTAGGTAGTAATTTTTAAATTGCTATACAAATGTTAAAACAAAGCTTTCATACAATTAAAAAAAAAAGGAGTCCCTTGACTCTCCTACTATAATTAATTCAAGCTAATAATTGTTGGAACACCCTCAGACCAACAAGAATGTGTGTTCTGGTTGCATGAGGCATTGCTCATGAATATAGAATAGGGTTGGTAGGTGGTTTTTTTTCAACACTTTTACAATAAGTGCTGATTAATCCAGATGATTTAAGGAAACATATTTTTTTCACAATTCTATAACCAAGATTTTGGGATATATACACGTACATGTATATTGGTTAAAGACAGCTTTTTTACCCTTCACACAAAAAATAATAATTTTTTTATTTCATTTTATTTTGTGGGGTGGGTGGGCAAATAGTTGGGGAGAGGGTAGGACAACCAGAAACACAACTATTTTTTTTTTACCACTTCATCATATCACCATGATCACTAAAACTTTTTTTTTATTTCAATAAAATTCAAGATGCATGTACAGTACATGGTGTGCATGTATAGGCATATATATTATTAATATAATAGATAAAAAGATAAATTTTTGTGTCACTGTACACATGATACAAGTAACATACAGTCATGATACACCTTATTTTTATACGGCCGCAAATCGTATATTGGTATGATGTTGGCCTTGTCGTCGTCGTCATCGTCCGAAGACACATTGGTTTTCGCATTCTAACTTTAGTTTAAGTGAATGGATCTCTATGAAATTTTACCATAAGGTTCAATACCACAAAAGGAAGGTTGGGATTGATTTTGGGGGTTATGGTACCAACAGTTAAGGAATTAGGGGCCAAAAATAAGCATTTTTGTAACTTCCAGACATAACTTGTGTGTTAGTGTATGGATCTCTCTGACATTGTACCACAAGGTTCCATATCACAAAGGGAATGCTGGGATTGATTTTGGGGGTAATTGCCTCCAAATTTTAGGAATTAGGGGCCAAAAAAGGGGCAAAAAACAAGCATTTTTCTAGTTTCAGGACAATAACTTGTGTGTAAGTGTATGGATCTTTCTGAAATTGTACTACAAGGTTACATATCACAAAGGGAAAGCATGAATTGAGTTTGGGGGTAATTGCCCAAAACGTTTAGGAATAAGGGGCCAAAAAGGGGCCAAAAATAAGCATTTTTCTAGTTTCTAGACAATAACTAGTGTTCAAGTGTATGGAACTCTCTGAAATTGTACTGCAAGGTACCATACCACATAGGGAAGGCTGGGATTGATTTTGGGGGTAATTGCCTCCAAATTTTAGGAATTAGGGGCCAAAAAGGGGCAAAAAAAACAAGCATTTTTCTAGTTTCAGGACAATAACTTGTGTGTAAGTGTATGGATCTTTATGAAATTGTACTACAAGGTTCCATATTGCAAAGGGAAAGCTGGGTTTGAGTTTGGGGGTTATTGCCTTAAAGGTTTAGGAATTTGGGGCCAAAAAGGGGCCAAAAAACAAGCATTTTTCTAGTTTCCAGACAATAACTTGTGTTCAAGTGTACAGATCTCTCTGAAATTGTACTGCAAAGTACCATACCACAAAGGAAAGGCTGGGATTGATTTTGGGGGTAATTGCCTCAAAATTTTAGGAATTAGGGGCCAAAAAGGGAAAAAAAACAAGCATATTTCTAGTTTCAGGACAATAACTTGTGTGTAAGTGTATGGATCTTTATGAAATTGTACTACAAGGTTACATATCACAAAGGGAAAGCGTGAATTGAGTTTGGGGGTAATTGCCCAAAACGTTTAGGAATAAGGGGCCAAAAAGGGGCCAAAAATAAGCATTTTTCTAGTTTCAAGACAATAACTTGTGTTCAAGTGTATGGAACTCTCTGAAATTGTACTGCAAGGTACCATACCACATAGGGAAGGCTGGGACTGATTTTGGGGGTAATTGCCTCCAAATTTTAGGAATTAGGGGCAAAAAAGGGGCAAAAAAAAAACATGCATTTTTCTAGTTTCAGGACAATAACTCATGTGTAAGTGTATGGATCTTTATGAAATTGTACTACAAGGTTACATATCACAAAGGGAAAGCATGAATTGAGTTTGGGGGTAATTGCCCAAAACGTTTAGGAATAAGGGGCCAAAAAGGGGCCAAAAATAAGTATTTTTCTAGTTTCCAGACAATAACTTGTGTTCAAGTGTACAGATCTCTCTGAAATTGTACTGCAAGGTACCATACCACAAAGGGAAAGCTGGGATTGATTTTGGGGGTAATTGCCTCAAAATTTTAGGAATTATGGGCCAAAAAGGGAAAAAAAAACAAGCATATTTCTAGTTTCAGGACAATAACTTGTGTGTAAGTGTATGGATCTTTATGAAATTGTACTACAAGGTTACATATCACAAAGGGAAAGCTGGGTTTGAGTTTGGGGGTAATTGCCTTAAATGTTTAGGAATATGGGGCCAAAAAGGGGTTAAAAACAAGCATTTTTCCAGTTTCCAGACAATAACTTGTGTGTAAGTGTATGGATCTTTATGAAATTGTACTACAAGGTTACATATCACAAAGGGAAAGCTGGGTTTGAGTTTGGGGGTAATTGCCTTAAATGTTTAGGAATATGGGGCCAAAAAGGGGTTAAAAACAAGCATTTTTCCAGTTTCCAGACAATAACTTGTGTTCAAGTGTATGGAACTCTCTGAAATTGTACTGCAAAGTACCATACCACAAAGGGAAGGCTGGGATTGAGTTTGGGGTGATGAATCATAAGGGGGTTCAACAAATTGGAGGGGGGATTTTTTTTTCCTTTTTTTTCTTTAAAATTTTCCATTTTAAATTGGTTATTTCTGATTTATATATAAAAGCAAATAATAATGATATGGTTTGAATAGGTAAATTAAAATTTTTTAAGTTCTTAGACCACATTCATTCTGTGTGAAAAACCTATGCTGTGTCAAATATTTAATCCCAATCCAAATTCAGTGCTTGTCAAGCTTGAATGTTGTGTCCATACTTGCCCCAACTGTTCAGGGTTTGACCTCTGCGGTCATATCAAGCTGCGCCCAGCAGAGCATTTTATTATAGGAATTAAATGTGATGTATACATGGTATACTGGTATCGGAAATTATATCAAATGTCAGATTGTCTGGTACAAAGTTCAAAGCAATCAAGCATTTTTACCAAATAATTGAAAAAATTACACTATTTTTTCGTTTCATAGATATAAGAAGATGAGGTATGAGTGCCAATGAAACAACTCTCCATCCAAGTCACAATTTGTAAAAGAAAAACCATTATCAATATAGGTCAAAGTACGGTCTTCAACACAGAGCCTTGGCTCACACCGAACAGCCAGCTATAAAGGGCCCCAAAAATGACTAGTATAAAACCATTCAAACAGGAAAAACCAATGGTCTAATCTATATAAAAAACGAAAAACACTTATGAACAACATCAACAAACGACAACTACTGAACATCAGATTCCTGACTTACGACAGGTGCATTTTAACCAAATAAATGAAAAAATACACTATTTTTTTTTCAACATGTCCAATATTATTTAAAACACTTTAAATTCTTGTTCATTCATGCCATATACATGATATAATACACATGTATGATATATATAATTATCATTGATTATTAAATTGATACAGAAAAAAAGTCAAAAGTGAAAATCAAATTGACCAAATTGTTAATTAACTAGTATACTACTTGGATTCATTTATTTTCGTGGTTTGAGGTAAATTTGCTATTTCGTGGATATTTGAATTCGTGGTTTTGGCAAAGTCTGCATATATTCTTATTGAAATTTGTGTTTCGTTGAGTTTTTAAATTTGTGGTTCCCCAGTACCCAGGAAATTCATGAAAATTGATATCCAACGAAAAATAATGAATCCAAAGTAATCTGAATGATGTTTTGTGTTCTTATTGTATTACATGTAACATGCTTTAGATTAACATGGTTAATAATGATTTATCACAATGTATTTTTGAATAGGTGCTGAAACATGGAAGGCAGCCTTACCATTCCTAGTCACATAGAGGACCTGACAAAATGTATGTATGAACTACAACAGGACGGAAAATTCTGTGATGCAGGTCTCGAGTGCAAAGATGGCGTCATATTTGTTCATAAACTTGTTCTTATGGCATGCAGAAGTCCATATTTAAGGAATCAATTGGTGTCTGAAAGTGAAGGTGAAAGAGTTTATGTCAGTCTAAAAAATTATTCATTAAAAACAGTATGCTGTTTGGTGCAGACCCTTTATACCGGACAGATAAATATTTCCCAGGAGAATGAAGTAGATTTTAGTCGTTTGTGTGAGATGATAGGGCTTGACAAAATAAAATCTGCTGCTGAAAATTTGATTCAGCATGATCAAAATATTTATGAGATCGAAAGCATAAACCCATTTTGTGCTGTTCAAGTTGAAGAGGAAGTAATAGAATCACAGGATGAGATTACAGCACTTGTGGCATCTGTCAATCATGGACCAGATGACAACTTAGTTGACAGTACAAACACTGTTGATAATGTAGAGGATCTCAACTATGACAGCAGTGATGTAAAAGTTGGAAGTGATATGGTTAAAAGGAGTCAAGATTCAGAAGGAGAAAGGGAGGCAGACAAATCTTTTGATCCGCCCACCATGCCCACAAGAAGAGAAACCAGAAGCAACAAGAGAAGAAAAATTTTCCATAATGAGAACACATCACAAGCAAAAGACAATGCCACATCATCTAATGTGGCAGAAATATTGACCATTGCAAGACAGTTGTCTGGAATAGATGAAGCACAGCCAACTAAACCTGCTTCTTCTTGTCGAGATCAAACTAAATCCAGTTTATGCTCTCTATGTACAAAAGAATTTGTCAATGAAGACGAAAATGTAACAGATCCAAGCAAGAAAGTTTGCACAGAATGTATGGTTTTATTTAGTGGAGAAACCAATGATGACCAAGAGGTGGGAACTGAACCAGACCAAATACAAAGTTACAACAGTGAAGATGGTGGAGAACACAACAAACAGGTATTAGTAATGATAATTTAAACTTTTTCTTATACAATTTTTATATGACCAGTCAGGAGACTTATTGAAATAAGTGACAATTATTTAAGTAGCAAATTCGAAGTTTTGTCACAAATTGTGATTTTGTAGTTTTACCAAAATTTTAAACACATGGGTTTTGGATATATCTTTTCATTAGTAAAATTGAAAAAAAATGAACTTTTTGCTTCTTTTAAGCAGCAAGGTTTATGCCTTTGATGCAATCATTTAGCTGCAAATTCTATTTTAGTTGAAAAAATGCTATAAAAATGGCTTTATATAATGAACTGATACTTTCTTAACAGATTTTTCCCAGTAGTGGGAGTATTTTTCCTGTATAATTCAAGGTTTCATCTTATAGATTATGTAATAAAATTCTACTGTTCGTTATCAAAATTTCACTGTTCAGGGTTGTTGAAATTAGTGGGGTTATTAAAATAATGATACTTAAAGAAGTGATTTTTTGGAAGGAAATTGAGGTATGATACTTAAACAAGTGATTTTTATGTCATTATCCTAGATTTAGTACAAGATCATCATCACCTGACATGACCCGGTCATCCTATCAACACAGATGTTGGTTCTGATAATTTTAGCAACATAATTAGTCCCTGGATCATTAGTATTCTATATTTAAAGCTACAATAAAATTAAATCACTTAGTCTAGTGATTAATTTGTACTACTTAATAGGTTATTAAAGAAAGACAACTCTTACTTCCAACCTTTATGGACATAATGTTACTTGAATCAGTGATTTAGAAAATTACTCATTTAAGTAAGTCCCCTGACTGATGACCGCAAAAAATTTGCATTCTTATAATGATATCATGTCGTCATGGGCGTCGTCGTCTGAAGACACATATATTATGGTTTCCGCATAATAACTTTAGTTAAACATTGTGAAAGTGAATGGGTCTCTATTAAAGTTTACCAGAATGTTTAACACAACAAAACATGCAAAAGGAAAGTTGGGGTTGGTTTTAGGGGCTATGGTATCCAGGGTATCAACAGTTTAGGAATTAGGAGCCAAAAACAAGCATTTTTGTAGTTTCCAGAAAATATCTTGTGTGTAAGTGTATGGGTCTCTCTGAAATTGTACCGTAAGCTTCCATATCAAAAAGCATTCAAAGGGAAGGTTGGGATTGACTTTGGGGGTAATTGTCCCAAATGTTCAGGAATAAGGGACAAATACATGCCATATTTTGCCATTAAAGGAGCACTATATATGGATCCAGTCCTCAAACTTTAACAGGCATCAAAATAGTGCTACATATACATATACATACATGTGTATAATCATGATAATCATGATGATAATTCATAGCAATATGTCATGTATGTGCAAGACCAACTTAGCCATTTTGACTTTCACCAAACATCTCTCAGATTGTATATAGAAGCATATACAGTCTGCGACGTTAAGAGATAGCCCAAAGCCCCTGTCTAGTAAAAATCTAATCGGACGTGTGCAGAAGCACTGGTGATTGCCTGATCGGTCTAGTGAACATCTGAAATCGTTTGGGAACTTGTAGCAGGTATTTTATTGCATCTATGAGAACAAGTTACAAATTTGTCGCCGACCTTGTTTTCATCCGTTTACTGGTATCTCTAACTTATATACGTTTTCCAGGCCTTCTCTAATCAAAGGGAACCAGTTGTCAACGCAATATAACTAATTACCAATGAAAGGGAGAACGAGGCTCAACCATGTGCTTGCAATAAACACAATCTATAAATACCACTCAATGCAGGGTTCACCACAGAATGAAAATCAAGGGTAGGGTAGAAAGTTCTTCAAATCAGAGATTTTGTGTGGTGTAGTCAAATCTATTCCTTGTGCATGAATTATTAATTATATGCCTTACATGTATTTGTCATATATATAGCTAAATTGGAAAGGGGGTCTCACACAGATTTTGTAGTTGGTCCTATAAGTGGTCACCACACTTTTAGGAACATATTAAACAGGGAGAGTAAACACCTGATGTGGCTTCCCAGATTGCAGGAATATTCTGACAAATTTTATCTAAATTGTCTTATGTAAATCCACATGGTAAAACGGTCTAAAAAGATAAAGAAATTAATAATAAAAAAAAATATTCAGTCACAGAATTTCAGTCATTTCAACCAAATTAAGCCTATCTAGCTGTTTATAAAATCATATGTGTTATGTAGAATTTTGTTGAATTAACTCCCCTCTTTTCCAATTGCAATACAATTATGTAAAGGAATTATATATCCAGTTTTACTCTTTTCCTACTTTAAATGAGTTTTAAGATAAGGAAACTCCTATCCCAGATGTATAACTGTCTAAAAATAACCAGACAATGTTTGTCTGTTATTTAGGTATTACCAAGTATTTTCTCGCCAAAAGAGATTATGTGACATCGTTGTCAACAAAAGGACCATCATGACCATGTGGTCAGGGAATCCATTTGTTTTCTGGATCTAGTTAGGATATAAACATTCCATTTAAGGTATAGTCAAACATACATGTATGCATTTATAAAATAACTATAGTTTGCAAACAAGTTTTACTTTTCAAATTGAAGAAACCTGGTCATGATCGTTCATTGGTTGTTACCTTGTTCAACCATGCGAGACCATGTAAATAATATAATCAGCTGTCAGTGTACATCCCTTGAGGCAATTAACAATAATTCAACTTCTTAATTGCTGCTAACATGATAATTGGATTAGGGATATTAGAAATTTAACATCAATCTATTGAATTTTGAAGTGAGGTGGACAATAAAATAAGTGTGGCGCTGGGAATTTTAACGTGGTGCTAGAATTTTAGCGTGGCACACTGCAATCCTTAAATAGGTTGTGGTGATCCCTGCAATGTAAACAAGGATTCGATTTTATTCGATGCCAGGGGCGGGTCCAGGTGAGGGCGTAATGGGCTTCACCCCCCTTTAAAAAAAAAAAAAAAAAATCGTAATCTGCTAATATTGTATTGAATATGGCAATTTATCATATTCATTAATTAAACACATACTCTGAAAATGGTTCTAATGAATCCACTCTAGTCTAACCATTCATTGAAAATGAGAGTCTGTCAGTATTTCTGTGTTCATTTTAGGTTTTGCGTTAAGGTACATTTATACTAGTAACATGCATGTACATGTATATTTGGTATAGCATTTTTAATTCCCATCTGGATAGCCTTTGGTAGTATCATATTGTTTCAATATCCATTAGTGAGTAACTAAGTGACATTGACCTACATTTTGCCATGAAGTTCAAGCACCATATTTATTTATGTACCATATACCACCTATCGGAACTAGACAGTGACATGATTGCTTTAATTTAGTACTGTAGTACAATGACGTCAATTTTTTATATTCAATCAGGTATTCCACATTAAAGCCTACAATATTTAGAACGAAAGAATTTATACTTCAGTGTTTGTTTGTCTTGTATCATATGGTGTCGTTCAACGAAACCAGAACTTAATCTAAAATAGAGAGATATTTATCAGTCTGGCTACTTCATAATTTTATGCTAAATTGTTGAAATCCAGGAGCTTCTGAGCTTCCCCATGGACCCTCTACCAGGGCAACCGTAATTTCGCCTCCCGTTCATAAAATCCTGGCCTAGGACTATTGAAATGTTAAGTAACGCCTTATACCATAGAATTTGGAATTTCTCGTTATTGTCAACTGCTGTGTAAGATCCATCCAATCATTTTAATACACCATAGATAATTAATGGAGAGAATTCGGCACAAAAAATGTCAAACCCTGACACTTTAACTATAAAATATACATGCTCCAAGTCAGGAACCGTTACTTTAGTGCATTTCACAATTACTTTATGTTTTTTAGCAAAAAAAAGGTCCAAAATATTTTTCGCCTCCCTCCGCTCGGCTAAAGATTTGATTCTACCCCACCTCTTTCAAATATCCTAGAAACCCCCCTGGATGCTGAAATGGTAACAGGGGGCTTATCCCAGGTGAAAAGTTGAAAATGCCTACACGAATAACTGGAGAAGTTTCGAGTTGATAAAAGCTATGCTGAAAAATGATCTATGCATTTTTATTATTTCAAACAAAATTACGGAAAGTGAAGGAGGGTGTTGATAGGGGTTTATAGAATAGAGAATATTTGTCAAAAAAACATAAAGAAAATATTTGTTTTTAGAGACAAATTGACCAACAAATAAAGAATTGAGAAAAATGAGGTGTTAAAATATAAAGAAAAATGGCATAAAAAATTAAAGAATACGGAAATGAAGCCCCCCCTCCAGAGAATTAACTTTAATATTAATCCTTGTTAAGACTAAAAAAATATGAAATATTAGGAATAAACTGGTTGGGGACATCCATTAATAAGGGAATTTTCCACCAAAAAAGTAACAATCCCTAGGTTGAGTAATAATTTACATTTTTTGATAAGTTATATTCACTTCCAGATACAAAAATGTAACCTCAGAATGCAGGATTTTACGTCTAATTTTCCAAAATTTTCTTGTTTATTAGACTCATCAAGGTATGAAAAGGAAATTTTCTAACAACACTGGTTGTAAAATGGTCACATTTTCATGATTTTGGTGGCAGTTTTTGTAATTGAATTAATTTTCAACTTTATCATTTTACCATTTATATAATTTAATCATGTTAATACATGAATTAGGTAATGAACCAATCGAAGAAATATTTTTTTCATTATAAATTATCAAAAAGGATGAGTTTAAAAGCAACTGTGAATACTTCAAAAAATTGTTACTGATTTTTTTGAGACATTTTTATCATTGTTTATAGTTTAATGTTTAACAATAAATAATTACATTAGAATGATTAGATGTAGGTTTCATTATAAAATGTTATTTTGATTGGCTAACAGCAATCTCGCGTCATTCTGAAATTAACCTTCATTTCAAATTGAATTCATTGTAACATTCATGTTGACACACGATTCCACAATAAAATACACAGGTAAATAAAAGAAAAACTGGATAGTAATTGTGTTTTCT